GTTTCATATACAGAGGTTACTGAGGGGTGGTGATCTGTGTGGGATGGTAGATCGCCACCTAGTGGGCATTTTCAGAGCAGCCTCATGCTGATCTGAATCATCTGAGGAGATTTAACAGTGCTCTTTTTTGTCTTTATTGGTTTCCTTTTTTGTTCCCTTTCATCCCCTCCCTTTTATCTCCACTCTCCACTTTGTGATCTCCTTCCTCTGCAGACTGCATTTTTTAATTCCATGCCATGTTAGGGAATAAACAGAGGTGGTTTAAACCTTTAGAAACTCGCCTCACCTTCTCCTTCAAACACTCAAAGACACTCGCTTCCAGCTGACCTTGAAAGAGATTCTCTGAAGATTAGATTTTAGTAGCTTTTTCTTACATCTGTTAGCTTTTCACAAGTCAGAAAAGTACCTTTATATCCATGCATGGTTAAGTATGACTAAGATCTTATAAGAGCCACAAAAGCAGTATTTAGCACACGCTGGATACTGAGACCAAACGGTCTATTCACCTTAACTCACACCTCACCTTTCACCTTTAAATAACACCAGACAGCCAGCCAAGTCTTTAAATATGCCCCTGTGACCTGAAAATAGATACTAGAAAGACGCCAGCGCCCTTTTACAAGTTGACCCCAAAACCCTCTGTTGTAAAACATGTCTATTTCAGATAGACACAAAGAGGTTACCGTAGAAGCTGGTTGGCACTTTAAGTGTGCTTGCAGCTGGGGTGAAGACAGGTTAGAGGCCGACAGAAGGAAGTGGGCAGAATGACAGGACGACAGATGACAAGTCCGGCAAAGAAACAAGATGAAAGTACCAAACTAGAGATGATGAGGTTGACAAGAAAGAGTGATGGAGGATGGGATGGAAGGAAGGCGAGGCGTGAGAGAAAGTGGCTCCCTGTGGGACCCCTGCATATTTTCTGCGGGTGAAACCAGGTGTGAGTGCGAGCTGAGAGTCAGACAGCTCTGGCAGGCTGCCTTTACCTGGCACAGCCCTGTCATTACTGTTACCTGCCTGCCCCTGAGGCCACGTGGGCTGGAAGCAGAGCTGCAGCCCCAAATACAGACTATGGTCAAGGGTCATTGACACTGTAAAGAAGCTCTATACAATATTCAGAACATTAACATAGCAGTAAACAACTATTTGTGATGTGAAGATATAGTGGAGACATGGCATCGTGAGCAAGGAATGAAGTCATGCTCCATCTGTGTGTTATAATCTGATCTTCTCTGTTTTTTGTTGTGGTAGACAGTCCAGCCACACATGCATGTGCATATACACTGCATATAGGTCCCCTGTGTGTATCCCACTGGCTAGCTAATCACCGTCGCTCTGCACTGCGCTCATACAGTAGTTCCAGCTAATGTCAGGAGGCAGTCGTCGCAGAAGCTTAAGCCACCTTACGATTCCCCCCAGTTAACACCAATACCTCTGTCAGCACTGTTGCTGTTGTTCGCACTGTTCATGCTGTTAGCAACTTTAGCTGCTAGCATCCAGCTGAGCCACTTCCATGTTGAGAGCCGTGTGCAGACAACCTCTGATTCTTAGATACGATCTGAATATTGTGTCAAGCTCCTTTAAAAACCAAAGTGCAGTGACAGGAAATATGTCTCGGTGACATCACTACAGTGCTGTTCTTGCCGTCAAACCTGTTACATAGGCTTTTTTTGATATGTCAAGTTTATGTGTTCAAAAAATTAGGTATATATTGGTTTATCTCAGATAGGCTTTACAGTCTGTGTTACAATCTATCTTAGAGGTTATTTATACTTTCTCAAACTGAGACTCCATTTTCAAAATAGAAGCCCCATACAGTGAAGGTTCTGTAAAAGGTTCCCTCTCTCTTTGCCTGCCTTTATTTTTTAAATGGTTGATTGTAAACGTCAAAAATACAATATATTTCAAGTTTCTTTTGATACTTAAACATTTTGGGAAATATACTAAATTGCTTTTTTGCCGAGAGTGAGCTGAGAAGATCGATACTACCTTAGTGTTTGTCCTTTAAATATGAAGCAACTGCCAGCGGACGGTTAGCTTAGCTTAGCATAAAGACTGGACATCGGGGGAAACAGCTAGCTTAGCTTTAGAGCACATCTAAAGCACACTGATGAACAACTGGCTTCTCTAACCCTAACAAAAAGAGAAGGGTAAAGCTGACTTGTGGTTTACTGGAGGAGTATTACTCAACCATTGTCACTGTGAGGCGCTAAGCTAAGCTAACCTGCAGCTGACTGTACCTTTAAATTTACAGACATTAGAGTGATATTGTCACCAAGACATCAAAAAAGAAGTGTTCCCAAAACGTTACACTTCTCATTTCTTGATTTCTTCCTTGACTTGTCTTCAGCGCCAAGATTCCACCAGTGTCATATGTAATGCCTTATAGTGCTACATACAGTAACTAGTTTTTACCAGGGTCATTTAATTAAAACAAATGACCTGGTTGAATGATCTCATGCTTCATAAGTGACCCGTGCTTTGCCATACAGAATAAAACATAAAGTTTAGACAGTCAGAAGAAGGTTTCTATGCTTCTGTGTGATTGTCAGTCTTTATCTAAGTGGTCCGGATGCTATAAACTCCACCCGTCTGGTTCTCCCTGCAGGTTAAAACAAATACTAAAGATGTTTATAACTGGTATTTGACCTTTGTGTCATGATGTCCCCAATGTTAGATTTGTTATTTCAGAGTCTGTGTCTGCAGGCAGGGCAGTTATATATGAATAGGACCAGGTGTGGAGTGGAGAATTACCTTCCCTTTTGTATCGTGTGTGTGTGTGGAAGTAATAGAGGGGTGTGTGAACCTTTACCTTGTGTGTAATGAAGGGTGTGCAACCTCTGTGCATTTACATTAACAGTATATGTGTGCTATAGACTACTGTGTGTGAATGTAATATGCATGCATACATTTTTTAACCTAACTTCTTTATATTGTAATTGTGATTTAAGTGCGTAGCTAAATTAGGCAAAGTTGAGGAACATGCAGTCACACACGTGCATGCATGCCAGCATTTACATGCATCTTAGCTCCATAAATGTGTCTATAAATGTCTCATAAATGTTAAATGTACATCTGCAGCACTGGTTTACTTCCCCCAGTAACCTTAATTGCCTGACATCTTTATGAATAAATTTATGAGCACATAGTATTGTGATGTGGTAACGAAACAAAATTGCTTATATTCAAATTTTCTATATGATGTACATTGACGCAAAAGTAAAACAAGTTCCCCGTTGGCATGTTGTAGCTTTGAATATCAAGACCTGTAATTTAGCTCTCTGTGAAAACAATAATAAACCAGGTTTCAGCATGAGTCACTTCAAAATCAAATCCTCTGACTTTCCTTTGACCCAGACATCTGTCCGTCTCTCCGCCCTCTCCACCCTCGATCTGTCGCCTTTCTCTCCACTCTGTCATACTGCCTAAAATATGAGCTAATGGCAGGTTGAGTAGTCGAAGCTGTAGTGTGAACATGTGTCTTAAACTCTGCCATTCAAGAGAGGGATTCCTTTGGTCTGTTTGTTCGTCCACCTGTTAATGTTGTTTCGTTGTTTTTCTACTGCCATCATGTGGTAGAAAGTGGTAGTGCAGCCTGTCACCTGCAGCACATTCAAAACAAGATTAAGGCGTCACAGCTGACTTCTTTCCTAAATACATACAAAGTTTATCCCTAAAATGTTATCATAGGTTCTATTCAATAACTGCCTTTTCAATGTGACTTTTAAACCAAATATGAATCCACTGTAGCAGTTTTTCCTTCAGACCACCATCCAAGACCGCGTGCCGCTGCATGCCCACATAAAGCACTTCACCATCCCTCTCAGATTCAGGATTATGAGCCACTCTCACGTCTTAACATCCCTCCCTGAGTTTAAAAAAAAAAAAAAAAAAACCCACAGCTGTGTTTTCCGCCCTGACTTGTTCCATCTCATGTAAACACACCCAAATCCACAACACAGAGACAAAATGGCTTCCCTGGCAATTTGTTTTGCAAGTGTTTCTTGAAAAACTCAATCGTCAGGTGGATGATGGTGTGTGATTGAGGATGTTGGCGATAAGGCTGGAAATAGATGAAGACACTGTGTTTACCGTGATGTCAGATGAAGATGATGATGGGACAAACAAGAGGTTCATATATGTGTCATATGCAGATCACTTACGTACTTGCTTTGAATCACGTACCAGTCTTTAAAAAGCACTTATGAGCTAATCAAAGACATAAAACTTAGAACTTCAAATTGACCTTCTAGGGGATTAGATGATCCGTTATCAAGGCATCATGCAGTCACACATTAATTAATATAATTTTTCTGTTTGGGATTGCAATATTACGTATTATTATTTGTAGTACTAATACCATTCAGGAAGAATGTTGCACACAAGCTAATATTGATATTATGGATATCTTTCCAAAGGCAGTATTTTACTCAGCCTGCCATATTGATTATCTATGAGCAGTAATTAAACATATAATAAATAATTTATAACAGATTTTAATGCCATATAAGGAGATATAAGGACATTTGTCAGTGCATATTAATTAACAATTACACAAAAAACATCTCCTATGAACACATATTTTACACAAAATTACAACTGTGTCATACTATAAAACCATCAATTCTATTTTCATATACCAGCATCAACTTATGGACCCTTCACAAGAGATTAAAGCAGTTTAATATTTGGTAACAACTACATTATGGTGTGTTATCACCATTTATTGGGTATAAATGTTGAATAAAAGGGGTTTCAAATAAGTAAGTTTTCCTTATCAGAATCAAGGCTGTAAGAACAGAGGTTGTTTAATGATGTACAGTCACAAATGTAATATTTTTGACTGTTTAATTTAAAGTGACTTATTACAGTTTTCTTTAGACACGCTTAACTTGACTTAATACTAATAATAGGAATAAAAATGGAGCCTTCGCTTCTGTTTTTAGGTTCACTGTTCTTCCTGTTTGACTTGAAAAGTAACCGTGTCTTCTGTCTTCTCTCAGGGTCGTCCAGGGCCTCTCGGTGAGGTTGGTCAGAGCGGACCAGAGGGGCCACGTGGGGGCCCGGGGCCTACAGGGCCTAAAGGAGAGAAGGGCCACATTGGACTAAAGGGACCATCTGGCCCCAAAGGAGACAAGGTGGGTGTTATAGATCATAACAGGATTCATATATTATTTTTACGACAAAATATTGTTCTGTGAAAGAATAACCTGTCTCTTATATGGCTTTATACCAAATATATTAATTATCTAAGCTAAAATATTGATTTAATTGTGTTTCATGACTAAAACTAAATGTACCAAACATCATTAAAGCAGTATTAAACACAACTCTGCAACAAACAAGCAGTGACATGTTTTCGCCACCAGGTGTCACTATTGAAGATGATTAAATATTAACACAATGGATTACTTGCTTTAACAGGGACCTATGGGAGTGCCAGGATTCCAAGGAAGTGATGGAGTACCTGTGAGTAAACCAGAAACAAATACTCACACATGTGGTCATGCACTTGAATAAAATTTAGAAATATCTTTCATCATCCTGTTGTTATAGTCATAGGTTTTCTAATGTTGTAAAGCTAACATTCCTATCTGAAGCAGGCTAAAGTTACAATGGGCAGATATTATTTCTGTGATGAAAACAAAGATACATTATTCACACTATGAGAAAAGGATAATCCCGCAGTGCCGTCGTTAGTGCTTGTTCTTGAAGAATACACCCTTCCCCTCTGTCTCTCTGCAGGGTCACCCGGGTCAGGAGGGTGGCAGAGGCCCACCAGGAGTGGACGGTTGTAACGGGACCAGAGGAGAGCCTGGAGCACCGGGCTATGGGACAGGAGGACCTGGATATCCTGGACCTGCTGTGAGGACAAACTTCAGTTCCTCTTCGTAGTCTTTATACTATTAATGCCATGATTAAGAGACTGTAGCGTTTATTGTCACTGCCTGTGATAGGTAGATTAATACTGATGGTGTCCTCTCCTCCAACAGGGGCCTAATGGGCTAAAGGGTCAGAAAGGAGAGCCTAGATACATCTCAGATGACGGTGTCTCGGTAAGGTCTCATACTTTCCTCCGCTTCTGTCTTTCTTCCTGCTCACTAAAGAACTTTAGATCATCTTTGTTGTGTCCACTATAGCGCCTTCCGTAGCTCAAGAGCTCAAACTGGCTGAAGAGAGGATGGGAGTTATCTGCTAAGATACACCTCGCTTTCTTCTTCATCCTCTCTGTAAAGAGTTGAGTCAAGGGCTTTAGTTTCTCGCCAACTACTGTACTTGCTATTGTCACAATCCTGGAGAGTTTATTTTAGGATATTGAATCTGGTGAAAAGTCACTAGTTTTTGGTGTGCATTTGGTCTGGGATTCAAGGATTTCAAGAACCCAAGAGATTTTGAATAATCTGCACCACATTTCTTTCGTAAAATATTTTGATGAACTCCACTGGTGTAGTGGTAGTTAATGAGGTGGGTGTACTACGAGGTAGATACCTAGGTTAGCATGGAGGAGTCAGGTATACACTCCTATATATTCCATTGGCCCTTTGGCTAATAGATGGGTATACTGTTAACAGCCAGAAAAGGAGGTGGGTATATCCTGTATGCTTGTGTAAACCCCCCACTACACCGCTAGGATAAACCCAGAAAAATATTTAGAATAGGTTTTGAACATACATATTATATTTGTGATTTGTTGTATTTTATAGAAAGTCACTGCACAACTTCAACCAAATTAATTCGTAACATAAATCTATCAGGCCTGAGCCAGCCTGCAAAGTTTGATGTGGCCACTAGGTGGTGCCACAGTAAAATTGAATTAAAATAACATAGTGGTCATGAAACTTTCCATAAATCTCATTTGTGTACAGATACCCCCAAACAAGAGAGATTTTCTCCATCAACCAGTCTGTATTCTGTAATGAAGATAAAACATGTATTCATGTTCTGTTTTATTATAAAAGAAATGTGCCACATGTTTATTAATTCATGTTTTTCTTTTCCCCCATATTTAGAGTATACCAGGTTTACCAGGAATTGACGGTCAGCCGGTAGGATTCTTACTTTTCTCCTCTACGTTGTGATAAATTTTCTTTAATACAAAATAACACACCTGTTGTACTTCTTTGAACGCATCGTTGTGACGTGGTTGTGTTTTATTCTCTGCAGGGTATCATAGGTCCTGATGGTCCGCCTGGTTATTCTGGTCCAAGAGGGCCTGAGGGATATCCCGTATGTAAACTGATTCACCTCAGACTGCTCCCTGCATATTGACATTATGTTCAGTTACATATTTGTGTTTCATACATCAAATTCTCTGAGGTGCTGTGTGTTATATATCTGATGGTGGTATGTGGCAGCTGATGGTGTAAGGAAAAATGCTATAAAACCAGTTTAATATACAGGAAATAATTTATTATTACATAATCTATTGTTAATTAATCCATAAGATGATGTTGTAATATGTATTAAAATTCAGGAGTTTAGCCAGTCATAAATTTGACACAAATCTTTCCACCTGTCTAAGAATACTTATTTTAAATTTTCTTTCGATCAAAGTATTTGTGAATATTATTTCTGATTTTGTTGCTGACTTTATCTATCGTCTGTATCCAGGGCCCACCTGGTCCTCCCGGTCTCCCAGGGCCAATGGTAAGTCAAACAACAGAGTACAATCATGTATCATATTCTGTGATAAGGCAGTCCACAGCTGTCAAAGAATGTGGAAAGTTATTGTTCTTGTTCCTCCAAGTGCGTTCTGTTAACCCTTGTTGTTTTTAGGGGAGCCGTAGTGACGGATATGAAGGAGAGAAAGGAGACAAGGTATGCTTTGTTAACTGAAGAGCGCATGTAGACTCATTTGTCTGTAGAGATTGATGCAGATACACACGTAATGGCCTGTTGAGTGAGTGCAGCTAGCTGAACAGTAACATCTGCACGTCTTTTTTAAACTCTTGAACGCACTCTTTGTTCTTGTCTCGTTCAGTTTCAGTTTTTCCATCACTTACACAATGAACAGTCGTAGTTCAGCTCCTCAGACTTAAAGACACTATAATACCAGTGAAAGCCATTTGGACAGTGTGTAAATGGTTTACATGCCATTTATCAAAGGATTTGATTTTTTAGTTGGTGTTAATTCCCACCTCAGAATGTACACAGTGACATACAGATGTTATATACCAAGACACAAGCTGTTTGCATGTTGCCTGTGAGTGACATTGAGGATACTTTATCTCCATGATAGCATCTCAGGCGATAGTTTGAGATGGATGCCGGAGCCAAAGTATAAAATCCACAACATTTAACTTATTAGAAATAAACTTTAAAGGTCCAACATTTGTGGCGTAAAATTGATTGTCATCTAGGCTAAAATAAGTCTGATGATTTCATTTTTGTCGACCCAGGTGTGCATTAGCCTAGCTTAGCGCAAAATCAGGCAGCAGGAAGACCAGGTAGCCTTGCTGATTTAAAAAAAATTGGGGGTTTTTTGGACACAATTTGGAATGTATAGCCAGTTCCTGATAACTTTAGGGATGTTTTTATAGCTTGTTGTTTAGCTAGTTAGCAAGGAAGTATTTTTTGCCACCTAGCAGCCTTCATGCAAAGCTAAAGTTGGCTAACATGCCCCAGCCATGTCACTAGACTGCGTGATGAAGTTTGCTTGGTTTAAATCATTGTTTTAAACCCTTATGCCTTACTAAATAAAGGCCTGAGAATTTCCTAAAGAACATTTCTTTACTGTGACCAAATGGTGAAGAGACTTAGCATTAAATTAATCATGGTTTTACAGTACGTTGTGGTTTCTACACTTTCGCTCCCGTTAATGTCAGCTACAGACACCAAAACAGCAGGCTTAGAGTGCTCTAGCTGGGTCCTAGCTGTGTGAGTGTGTATGCATTTATGTGTGTGTGTGTGTGTGTGTGTGTGTGTGTAATGAATTGGTTGGACATAATACTGTGCATGTTAAAATCTGACTGGTGGTGGCTTGGCAACCTGCACTTCTTCCGTCCAACACGCATTAATTCACCCACCATCTATCCTTCCCCCCTCTAACCCCACCCATCCCTGCACCCCTCCATCCTCCTCCTCCTCCTCCTTTCTCCATCCTCAGATTGACCACTGAACTGTTTGTTGCATCCGTTTCCTGTTTGATAAAAAGATCACATGAACCTCTACTTGATTCAGTCTGGTTTGTTCTTTCGAATGATCTGTGGTGCCACTGAGACAAGTCGCAGACTCCCTCAGATGTGTTTTAAGTCAGATCTGGATTCACTGTTTCATTTTGAATTTTCAGTCAAATCCCAAAATCTACTTGAAGTGTAGTTTGTGTGTTGACCAGTGGCATTACACACTTGTTTCCCTCACCGTTGAGTGATGGCTCAGAGATTTTACATGATGAAGTTTTTCTCCAAAATTAGAAAAATGAAGCAAATGCTGAAGTAAAATTTATCCAATCTTGACCTGACTGTCCAGCATTAAATATCAATTCTGCTTCAATCAGGAAAAGTACACAAATACTAAAAAAATAAAACTTCATTATTCAAATGTCTGAGCTGTCACTGTGGAGGCCGATCTGTGGACTGTAACTGGGTGCTGGAATCACTTGCTCCTACTTCCCACGTCACACTTTATCCTCCCTTTAATCATGTTTGGGCATCTGGTGGTGGTGAACCCTGGGATTTGTAGTCCATCTGCCTGCTCTTTGACTCCTCAACCTCCATCCAACCACCCACCCATCTCATTTTGAAACAATCACACAAAGAGTACTAACAAGTCATCTTCCTCACACATTGCATGCATGTTATGCTCCACCAAAACACTGAACTCAGACAGATTCAGGGTTGAACTGAATGTGGAAACAGCTGGATTTACTGTTGAGCCTGTTTAGATAGGTTTCTTTAGGATGGTGTTTTTCTCTTTTAGCCATGGGGGAAAATGGGAACTTGAGATATCTTAAAATTGATCAACAAGTAACTCAAGATAAAGTATCCCTGAGCTCTCTTCTCCTTCTCTCTCTTTGTCTTTCTTTCTCTCTTTATCACTCCTTTTATTGTTTTTCTTTGTGTCTTCAAGTCTCTCCTCTTTGCATTCATATATTGTTCTGTTCTTTTTTGTTTTTCATCTACCTAGCAAGCTACCCAACTACCTAACCATCTACCTACTTACCCTCGTAGTTACCTACCCGCCTACCTATCCACCCACCTACCCACCTACCTATCTACCCACCTACCTACCCACCTACCTATCTACCCACCTACCTACCTACCTACCTACCCACCTACCTATCCACCCACCTACCTACCCACCTACCTATCCACCCACCTACCTCCCTAGCTATCTACCTTCCCACCAACCTAGCTTCTTACCTACCTACCCACATAGCTACCTAACTTCCCACTTACCTACCCACCTACCTACCCACGTAGCGACCGACCGACCGACCTACCTACCTACCTACCTACCTACCCACCCACCTACCTCCCTAGCTATCTACCTACCCACCCACCCACGTAGCTACCTAACTTCCCACATACCTACCTACCAACCTACCCACGTAGCGACCTACCTAACCACCCACCTGCCTATCTACTCATCTACCTACCTACCTCCTTCCCTACCTGCCCACCTATCTACCTCCCTCCCTCCCTGCCTACCCACCTATCTATCTACTCACCCACCTACCTTCCTAGCTATCTACCTACCCACCCACCCACTTACCTCCCTCCCTACCCACCTTCATCCCTACTACCCACCTACCTTCCCTAAATACCCACCTACCTCCCTACCTACCCACCCACCTACCTCCCTCCCTACACACCTTCATTCCTACCTGCCCACCTACCTTCCCTAAATACCCACCTACCTCCCTCCCTACACACCTTCATTCCTACCTACCCACCTACCTACCTAACTACCCACTTACCCACCTACCCACTCACCTACCTACCTACTCACCTACCTACCTACTCACCCACCTACCTACAAACCTACCTACCCACTCACCTACCTATCTATCTACATCTAACTTTGTAAGAGAGCAAAGCTGACCAGGGCCGTGTTTGTTCCTGTCACTATTATACATTATCTATCTCTGCACACTATATGGCCAAAAGTACGTGGACAGATGTGTTTTATGTGCAGTTGTGGTCTAGAAAATTTTAATCCTGCAGCACACAAGGTCGTTTTCGACATTATTAATGGTACACTGTTGCTTGTAAACAGTATCACCAGTAGAGGTGAAAGCCAATCCCAGATTCATATTTGCATTTTGCGGCTGTATCCATGATTTCCTCAGTTTCTTCTTGGAGGTACGTTGTTCACAGTCTGGTGCCTGTTCACTACCCTCTTTCAAGTTCTGCCCTCACTGAGTGTTGTGCCCAGGAACGTCCCAAACACAGCAGATTAACAAGAAATAAGAACATACAGGCAAAGGGGCAGAGTCTCTGCAGATAAATATGCTGCCAAACACTTTTAGTGGGTCATAAGTGATGACTGAGAGGGATTACTTTTGTTTGAGTAGATACGTTGTTTTTAAGGACAAACTCTGCAAAGTGTACCTTTATGTAAGCAAGTAACTTTGTTTATGTAGCACTTTTCATAAGAAGACATAACAAAGTGCTTCATAAATAAAAACAAGGCAACAGACAGAAGAGTTAAAATAAATACAATTTAAAACAAACAAAGGATCAACATGAACCAGAGATGTTGTCTTTTTTATTCCTCGCCTTCCTCTTCCTTGTCTAAACATACCGCCTACATTGCCCACAATGCAACTTGGCATTTCAGGCGTGTCATGCTAGCAAACATCAAACTTGTAGTCTTCAGCCCCAAGTGATGCTGACTCAAGTGACATAATTTGAGGCAATTTTTTTTTTTTAAATTTCACACAGCTCCCTCTAGACTCGAGCCACAAAAAGCTTTATACATCTACTTTAGCTCCATGTGTAATGATCAGGTGTCCACATACTTTTGGCCATATAGTTTTATTATCTATCTTTCTATCATCTCTGCTTGTTTTTTCTTTTCTTCATCTTTTCTGCCCCTTCTCTCTTTTTATATCTACATCTTTTCCTCTCACCTCCCATCTTGACCTCTTTCCTTTTCCTGTTTCTGCTCCACTACTCTGCCCCTCCTGATTGGCTAACGGTGTGTTGTGTGTATTTCGGACTCCAGGGCGACGTGGGTCTTCCCGGACCCAGTGGTACTCCCGGCGACGGGTCGCTAACAAGCGAACAAACTCTCACTATCTACAAAGGATCTAAGGTAACACAGCAAGGGAAGGCTAGGAGCAGAGGTCGTAGCGCTTCCACAATGTTCGCACACACACACACACACACACACACACACACATACACACATACACACTCGGATGTGGTGGGGTTTCATTATAAAAGTGGCAACAAGAAGGTCAATAACACAGCAGGCAGCAGGCTGTTTGTTGTTAGAAACTAAAGGTGAAAAGAGGAAGAGGAGCAGTGATTGCAGCAAACTTTAAAGCCATGGAGGGGAAGACAAATGAGGAGCCAAAGGAGGAGGAGACTTGGGGGGGAGGAGGAGGAAAGGTTGGTCCAGTGGATCATCACCCCAGCATCTTTGTTGTGATACTTTGTCGCATAACACTTTCTACAAGCACAGCTGCTCTGGAGGCAATATTTGGATGCAATTCAGTTTAGCTTTCCCATTACTTGACATTAGACTGAAACCAGTTGAAGTAGGAACAGAGGAATCTATCTGTAGGAAGTTAACATAGCTGGTGTTTTAAGTTCAAATTATTGAGCTCAAAGGTCCAATCTTGACCTAAAAAAAGCAATTTGTCAAAGCAAGGTCAACTGACTTGGTGTTTCTGTAGCTTTCGTCCATATCTCATGACCTTCCTTGCCAGATGGAGTAACTCAGCTGTCAGCGAATGACCTACGTACAGAATTTAGGCTAAAAGATGTGGCTGAAAGTTTTGGAAACACCTAGTAATTGGATCTATTTTGAGAATTGTTCATCAGAAAATCAACTTTCTTTGTGCAGATAGTCAGATTGTCCTCTGACCTACCAAAATAAAGGCTTTCATTATCAGGAATGCATAAAAATAATGCAAATTGCTATTCAATTTTGTAGCTAAAACCAAAACTATAGACCCTGGCTCCTTCCATTAAGGTGTAGCTCAACCAATCCGATCCTTTCTGCCTCCAGAGATTCTTTGACCCTGATAAAAGTTTGTTGACTAAAGCAATGACCTTCATACTAAGACCACCCTCTCTTCATTACCCTAATGTTTCCTCACTCCTGCACTCGCTCTGTCACAGCAGCCCCTTCAGTGGCTTCATCCACAGTCAAACACAGCCCGTCTTCCAGTCAACGGTCCCTCATCTCTCCCCCGTCTTCCCAAAACTCATCCGCCCCCTTTCCCCTCCTTGCCCTGCCATCTCACCGTCGCAACGGTGATCAGTATAAACAGTTCTCCTCTTCCTTGGTTACGATATCCAGGGCGACGTGGGCTTGCCCGGTGACCCCGGCCAGCCAATGATCAATGGCGTTGTGGAGTTTGTGGGTTTTCCCAAAGGAGACAAAGGAATGCAGGTTTGTTGGAAAAACGCAAGTCTTCTCATAGTCGACATTTGGAATGGCGAGCAGGATGAGCTGTGTCAAAGACGGACAAATATAGCCATGTGTCCCTCAACCTCCCACCTAATCAATACAATTTTCTCTTGGTGATTAAGTCATAAGTTTGTCGAACAATATGTATGGTTTTGCAAGTTTTTAACCCCAAAACTGTCATCTTTCATACATGGCATTACTCATCGACAGTTGTACAAAGCTGCCTTACCTTCCTAATAGCCATTGGTGTAATCTTGTTTTATGTAGTACAGAAATTAAAGGAATACTTCAACCCAGAAATGATCATTTCTGTATCAGTTACACAACCCACGTTACCTTGAATTTGTGAAGAAAACTTCATGTTTCTCTCATGCCTTCATGGTGAACAAAGAATCCAAAATGTAGAAAATTCTTGATGAATCGAAGTCAGGGATCCGCTTTTAACGACGGCAAAACTACAACAAAATATCTCTTTACAAACTCTAAGACAACTCATATAGCATATTCCAACTCTCATTTATCCAGTCAAATTCTCTTCAAAGCCAGACTGTTGACAAAAACTGTCATTTTACCTCACTGAACACAGGAGCTGCCGTTCTACCACTGCCTCAATCGGTAGCTTCTTTGTAGCATTGTGCAACTTTGGTGTTTTAGAAGGTTATTCATCAAAGTGAACTGATGGAGGCAGTGGTAGACTTACACTTAGTCCCTCTTTACTCTAATTCACCAAGATTTTTCTCAGTTTTTGGATTCTTCGTCCACCATGGGGGCATGCAAGAAAACCAAACTTTTCTTCAAGTCCATTGTAACATGGGGTGAGTAACTGATATAGAAATGATCATTTGGGGGTGAAGTATTCCTTTAACTTGCAGAGACTTGAAACTAACCAGCAAAAGAAACTCCATTACAGTATTGATTTCACAACCTTTAGTGTTTTCATTTTATTTTAGGTAATAATTACTTTCTATCATCACGTGGTAAGGTTGGTTACAGTAGGTCAGTTTTGAAAAGCTGTTGCATTGAAGGACTCTTCAACATCCACAACCTTTTTATCCTTTTGATAACATGATGTTTACATTTTCTTAAAAAAAGTATAATCTAATGCTTTTTTTCCAGCATTTATAAACATCAAAGCGTACTTGAATGCACCAACAGAGGAGAGTTTTAAAACACTCACAGTTACATTTTCAGTACCACACAATGATGATGAACCTTTGACAAAACGCTACGGACATCAAAAGGTCACTGTGATGATAAAAGTTGACTGTATAAACTGAAAAAAAAAAAATCCAGTGGCTGCCAGGAAAAGTCGAGCTCACATAAAGACCACATCGAGACCAAAGGTAACTGAAGCCACTACAGTTATCAGAGTGGAAAAGCCCACTGTGAACATTAGAGGTAGCACTTTATCCCCTTGTTGCTAACCATAGAGACGGAAATAATCTGAATCATCCACCCTGGATTCTTTAGTGTTCCAAGCCCAACACAGTGCATCCTCTCAGGGGTTTGAAGAGCACTGCAGCTGGGCTGGGAACCACAGTCTGTCTACTTGATCCAAATATTATTCCCATCATCCTCAAGGCCACTATGAAAGTATTGATTCAAATATTAGGACAGGTTTAAATTGTTCTCGTCTGTCTCTCGTGTGAGATTTCACTGTTTGTACTGGCTGTCAAAGGTAAGTTTAAACACAAAGTATGTGCAAGACTCTAAATGTTGCTCATAGTTCATTTAATGCAAAATGATGCCGTTCTCATGTTGTTAAGTTTGTTCTGTCTGTCTTTCTCAAAGGGTGAACCTGGTCGAAAGGGAATCAGAGGATACCCTGGCAATCCTGGCCGACCTGTAAGTGTTTTTTTTCCTGAAATAAACATTTTCAAAGACATTTCTGCAGAACAAATGTGTTAAGTAGGAAGACACCGAAGCTTAAAAAGCTTTGTTGACACAGCTGAGAGATCAATGAGAGACGTTTTACTTTAAGAAACACTTAACGATCTTTCACTTAATTCCAGGGACCTTTCGGCTATCGTGGTGAATACGGAGAGAAGGGCATTCCTGGATACCCCGGTGCAAGAGTAAGAGCTTTAGCACTGTGTTATTGCGTACAGTAAAGAAGAGGTACAAAGAAGTAGACAAATGCCCTTTTGTGGTATAAATCCTTCCCTAACCTCAGCATACTGGAGATTCCTTATGTTCTTCTTCCATGGTGAAATATGCTATTTGTCTTTTTCTGTGGTGTCACCTTTCCTTTCCCTCTTCCTCTGTGGTTGATGTCGCTTTTGATTCCACCAAACAGGGTCCTCCCGGGTTTAACGGGCCTCCTGGATCTCCAGGACAACAGGTGGGCATCTGTCAAAACTGTTCCTCTAGAACATTCAATAACTCATAAGTTGATATTATGAGACATTATACTGTGGCATGGACATAGAAAATACACAGACATACTTATTTCTGATTGGCCTACAGGTGTCATTTAACAGGACACATCGAACATATTTCTCATTAACAGTTTTATCATTGTGCTAGGTATATTAAACTGCCGGTTACCATGGCAACAGTGCTTATTGTATTTGCCACAGGACCACTTAATTCGCAGATGAAACTCATTTCATTCAGGGTTAACCCAGACTACAATTTTTTTTAAACATTGTGTTAGTAGTAGTTTTATATGACTTTTTTATACATATTTTGCATATAATCGCAAAACTGACTAGTAACTATGAAGCTGTCTGTTAAATATAATGATGTAAAATCATGATATTTGCAAGTACAAGCATAAAGTTGCAGAAAAATGGTAATAATTATGTGCAATAAAGTACAAGTACTTTTAGATTGTACTTCAGTGCCTCCTTTATCTGTACAGTAAATTCAAATTACTTAATTTTTTCCTGACACAGGGACTCAGAGGTGTTCCAGGTTACCCCGGGCAAGAAGGATACATAGGGCCCAAGGTAAAATGAGTGTGTGTTTGTGTACACTGGCTGTTGACATATTTTGTTGTGTCCCATTTTAATTCTACATACGAACTGCATACAGTATTTAAAATTCTTTGCTTAATAGTCGACTGTTTCTGCAGTTAGTGTACAAGAAATCACTGTTTTATACTAACAGGAAATTATTTATTTAATACTTGCAGATGTTAATCCAAATGCAACTTTAAAATGTCACTTCCAATTCAACCTAACAAGCACAAAGCAAACTGTCTTGCCGTTTCACCAACAGTTATCATTACTTACATTTTTTCCAGCACTGAGAAGCTTCTCTATTTAAATTATTATTATTTTTGTCACTTTTACAGTGGAAACACACTCAGTTATTTACTTAAAACTCAGAATTAACACTCTATGTAGGGTTATGCGTTTTCTTTGCAATACCCTCATTTCACCAGCAGATGGCGCCAGTGTTTCTTCAATGAATTTACCAAGGCTGGTTTAATATGCAGATGAAGAAACTTTTCTTTCAAGCATTGTGCAAGATATTCCTGTCATTTACCCAGTCAACTGGTAAATAGTTAATTTATTATTTATTTGTAAATATTTTTAAAGGAATTTATTTGTAAATATTTTACAGGAATCGTTTAAAATTGTGGTTAACAAGAGCTTATTCGCTTTCTAGACAAGAATTAACCTAACGTTAAATCATAAAAAACCGGATATAACAGTTGGCTAAATAGAAGCAGCCAGTTAGCTTAACTTAGGTTAACAGTAACATCCCAATAAAACAACTATATGTCGCTTTTTTCTTTATTTTTGGGGAGATATGGCGTTTTGATTTGGAAGCTCTAGACAACGTTAGGCTAGCTGTTTCTCCCTGTTTCCAGTCCCTCTGCTAAACTAATGTAAGGCTAACGTTAAGCTAACGTTAGCTAGCTCCTGACGCTAGCCTCTGCAGCATATATACAGTAGATGGTGTCAATATTCTTGCATCGCAAACAAATACATTAGAGTATTCCTCTAAGGTTGATTAGTGTAGGCATTAGCAGTTTATTCTAAACAACATTTATTTTAAACCAATTAGGAGTCCTTTAGCTTGGCAAAAGTTTGTCCCAAGTCAAGCTAAAATAATGTCAGGGGTGTCAAAGTCATTTTAGTTTATGAGTCACATACAGCCCAATTTGATCTCAAGTTGGCCAGACCAGTAAAAGAACAAAACAACTCCTCCAAATGTTTTCCTTTACATTCTGAAAATGTTTATCCATTTACAAGAGGGATGATGATGTGCATTTTTCCCCAAATATTCCCACTCCTGTGTAGTATTGCTGGCATCACCACAGCAAATTTAAGTGAAAGCTATTGAGAAAGCAGGTGAAGTTATCCCCCTGCCTTACAAACCATCTCAAGTTTGAAGAACTATAGTGTGGTCAGGGTGGAAAGCCTCCGAATCAGCACTTTACATCTAGTAGGCTACTCACTGTTAAACCTTGCACCTTTTAGCCTTCACAAGTGCATCGATATTGGGTATGCAAAGTCATCCAGTGGGCCAGATGGGACTCTTAGGTAGACCTGTTTTGTATTTTGTTCTGAACTGGTGGTGTGTTTTTAATAGGGAGATCAGGGAGACCCCGGACCACCAGGACCACCTGCATACGTTTCTGGACAAGGCACTTCTGTTCAAGGTAACACAAAAATCCACCTCAACAATAAGACATTAATAGATCAATCCCAGGTGGCTGAGTTTTTGTTTAATATGTGCAAGTTTCTTATGTTGACCACCTTTTCTCTGATTGGCTGAAGGACCAACAGGTGACCCAGGTTTCAGTGGCCTGCCTGGTGCCCCTGGTGACCAGGGACCTCCAGGATTCCCAGGACCACCAGGCCCACCAGGAATCGGTGGAGTTGGTCCAGGTAATATACACAGACGCACAAATGCAATATTATACAGAATATATCACATAACTGTTTTTACATTAAAATGTCAATTTCCTTCATATGCAGGTGGTCGTGGATCCCCAGGTTTTCCTGGGACCCCAGGCCCAAAGGGAGAGAAAGGTAACCCAGGCATACCAGCTTATGGCTTCGAAGGAAGCCCTGGCTCCCCTGGACTCCCCGGCCCTCCTGGCCCTCCTGGACTTCAGGGCCCAGCTAGTACGTTCACACAGAATTGACTGACAGAAGCTCTTTCTTCACAGGTGGTTGTCATAAAGATTGATGTGGCTTATTTGAGAGATGAGAAGTTAGAAATCCATTGCAGTCGATAAAAGGCTCTTAATTGTAAATAAGAAAACAAACTGAACATTAGTAGTTTGTACTTCCTCTCTTGTCTTTTAGACATTTTAAATCGCTTGTTTATGTTCACTGCTATTTATTTTTCTGTGACAAAGCTGGATTCCCTGTATAAAAGGAGCTAAAATAGTAAAAAATGTTTTTTTTTTTATGAATAAAAACTTCTAGGGGAGGATACAGTATCTTTATTGTTCTGACATAGAGCTAAAGTTGGCATAATAAAATGGATTTTGTATTTTTACCAGCCATAAAAGCTAATTTCTCTCTTAAAGTATAAGACAAGACAGAATCAGACTTTAAACGTCATGGCTGACTGATTTAACTGTCCTCCAAGGCTTTTCCATTGAACCCTGCGTCATCTATCCTGAGCCCAGGCCCGAAGGCAGGTATCCTAAACAAGGCCATATTGCCATAAACGCCATGGCAATATTCAGCTCGCCAAAGTATAATTCAAAACAACAAACTTTCAGCAGACATTATCTAACTGCCAAAATGCTTTTTTTAACGCTATTCTCTGTGGAGGGTGCGGTGGTAAGTATAGATAAGACAAGCGCAGGAGGCTATTCTTCAGACTTGGATGGGAGGGTTTCTCTACTCCAAGCTTCTTTTCTCATCTTTGCCAGGAGGTGTCGCCTGTGGTGAACATAATTCACTGATTTTACATGGACTTAAATGCATGGCAGCAGTGTTGTTTGCAAACAGGGACATTTTTTTTTGTTTGTTTGTTTGTTTTCTCGGCACAAACACATTGAACGAAGGAAGACATAAGAATAGAGACACAAGCTGAAAGAAAATCACAGTAATAACAATTATAATAACAATGCACTTTTTTTTCTTTCAGTTTGTCAGAAACACATTTGAAATAATTAAACAGTGTTTTGCAGTATAAGCATTCTTGCAGCCTCACAAATTCCTTTCAGAGCTTCACTGAAACTCCTTCCTTCATCGGATACATGTGTTTGGTGATGAGAATGTTAGCGCAGAGCTCTACTTATAAATGATTTGTCATCCTTGAACCAAGACAGGTTCACAGAATTAAGACTGAAGGCCCAAATGCACTGAAATCATCTGACACATACGCTTTGATGCCCATCAAACTGCTTTGACGTGCCAAATCTGACCTTGTTTTGGTTTTGGAGCATCAAATGAGAACCCAGTGACCAAAGTCTGAGGCAGAAAGGAGACATGGCAAGACAGAGAGGCAGGCCTGCAGCGAGAGTGCACAACAGTTTCGGGCAACAGCTGACATTAGCTCTGTTAGCTTAGCTTTAAACTGTATGAACAGTTCTACAATTGTAATTCTGTAATGCTACACAAAAACAACTACCACTGCCAACAGCTTTGATACTATATGAGCCATAGGAGCATCCATTCACATGTCTGTAATGAGGCAGGTCAGTTATCTCTTTCAGTGTGTTTCAGCCTTCAGATTCTCTTCGCCATAAAAGTCTAGAATGAACATCTCTTCATAGATGACACATTTTTACCCTTTACAAAATTATAGTATAAATTTGTATCGTTAGCCATTTGTTTTCTTTTGTTTGTGTAGGTGCCAAACCGCAATGCGCTATGCATGCTGCTTGTGGCAAGTAGCTCTCAGCCATTATAGTCAATGTAAAGTCACTGAATTAGTTCAAGCACAACGCTGTTTTATATTTTAATATGATATAAACAAGTCATGCTTTCATTTATTTATTTTTGATAAGCTTCTGTCATCTTGCAAAAGCAGCTGAACTCTTTTCATATTACCTGCAGACCAAAGAGACTAATCCTGATTTCACACTGTGACACCAAGCTGCACTTGCACTGTGCTGGTTTAAATTATTCTTATTTACCTTCTGAAATATTAAGGCGTGCTTGAGAGCATGTAAAAAAGAAGTTCCTCCACAATAGGAACTTTACAGATATCCCTTTTTTTGACATCTTACATCAGTCAGTGCAGTGCAGCTTCAGTTCAAACAGAGTGAAATCTACTTTGTCACTATAATTCAGTCTTTAACTGATCGAACCTTTTCTGGTGTGTGCCTTCAGGTATTCCCTCTACCAGCACCCCGGGAGAGCCTGGGCCACCTGGCCCCAGAGGACCGCCGGGTGAAAGAGGATTCAATGGCTTCAGAGGTACACGAACATATGCGAACTGGAATTGAATTAATAACAGACAAAACCTGTGCGTGTCTGCAAGACATTACTTAAACAAAAATGTATTGTTCAGTCAACAGAAGGTAAGTGTTAGTTACCTGTACATGTTTAAATTTGTGTGCTGGAGTCAACATGTCCTGCACGTTTTTTAACATGTATGAATTTTGGGTGATCCTTTCATCACAAATAAAAGAAAGACAGATTCAGAGTGTCTGTTTGCACTCGGGTGAGAGTATTTACACTGCAGCTATTCCACTATTTACACCCATCCCTACAAGGTGTTATTATGGATCCCATTGCGTGCCGTTATCAGCTGGTATTCAATACATCAAGGTCGGAGGCGGTTAGGATGAGGGAAAAGAGATCATGTCAGGGCTAGTACTGGCCATTTTTGGATATTCTCTGATATTAAAGTGGTAAATTTACCATAAAAATCACAAATTAACTGCCAATAAGTCAGATGACATATTCTACAGAGCAGCAGTGGGCCAATGATGTCATCGATAAATGGCTCAAGCACAGGACTTTCACACAGGACTGAGGTTTGAGTCCTGTGTAAGTCAACATTGGCTTATTAATTTTATTTTTTTAGGATGTGTAAAGCTGCTGAATGCAAATTGTGTACATTAGCTTTAGCAGAATAGCTGAATAAACCCGTTTGTGTTAGCGTCATATTTCGATGTTGCTAGGACGCCCAGGAATATTCACCCACACCTACATAGCCACATTAGCTATTTACACGTGGGTGCAAAGAGCGATATTGGCCATGAACACCTGGGTGCTAATAGCATCTGCCCACAAGATTGATTTTTGAGAACAGGCTCCATAAATTTCTTCATCAGTATCTTCCCTTTATAATCACCATCTATCTCTGTTTTCCCTCATCCCTCCCTTGATCCTTGTTCCACTCTTTTATTCATCATCTTTCTGTCATCCTTTTTCTCTGTTTGTCCCATTTCCTCTGTCCTACAGGCGATCCCGGCGACTGTGCCTGTCTAGGTGGAGGCACCTCTGGGTTGCCTGGGTTACCCGGAAGTCCTGGAGCTAACGGCAGCCCCGGCTTCCCTGGACAAAAGGGTGAGCCAGGTGATCGCGGTTCACCTGGCTTTAATGGTGTTCAGGGACCTCCTGTGAGTAGAATTTTGAGTATTTTTGTTGTTGTTGACAGTTTCGTAACACTCTTAAGTGCTGTAGCAGAGAAATATGTATGTTATGAATTGAAACTGTGTGTGTGTGTGTGTGTGCAAGTTTCACAGAAATCCATCATGTCTGTCCCCCTACAGGGTCGTGCTGGTAGCCCTGGTTTCTTTGGTCGTAAGGGAGAGAAGGGCGCATCTTATTACCCCAACCTGGGTATCGGGGTGAAAGGAGAGCTCGGAGCAACTGGACCCAGAGGACCAACAGGTGAAACTGGAAAACCTGGCAGGGATGGACTCCCTGGCTTCCCTGGAGCCCCTGGACCCCCAGTGAGTGCTTAGACAAACAAAATATATACATATATGTGTGTGTGTCGGTGTGCGTATAATGTTACAGTGTTGGATGTTCATGTTAAACATGGCCAATGAGGTAAACGAATGTAAATACCCAACTTTTTTTGCTACTCGAGACAAGCTGACATCAGCCTGTGATGGATTCTTTATATGGTCATCTGCTCCAGGCTGACTACTGCAAGTGTTTCCATTACGGAGCTGCAGATGTCAGGGAAATGTAGTCCCGGGTGTCGATATTGTGAATTGAAGTATTTATTGGTGATTTTTCACCGTACAAAGTGCCGTTATTCTCTTGGCTGTAATGATGGTGTAGATATGCCGAGACCTGGTAACGCTAACCAATCAGAGCAGACTGGGCTTTTTTGGGAGGTAGGGCTTAAAGAGACAGTCGCTAAAAGGAGCAACCTGAAAATTAGCATAATAGGTTCCCTTAAAAGAAGAATTACAGAAAAGAATTTTAAAACAAACCTTACCTCTCCCCTCCAGGGCGACGCTGGTTATGGCACAGTTGGAGAGAAAGGTTTCCCAGGGTTCCCGGGGCCTAAGGGTCGTGCTGGCGGCCCTGGCGAGCCTGGTATCGGTTATAGCGGAACACCCGGCTTTCGGGGAGAGCCTGGAGACCCCGGTATATCTGGGCTGCCAGGGGCACCAGGTTTACCTGGACCTAAAGGTAAGTGATGCCGCGGAGGAACAGAGGAGGCGAAACATGGAAAGGAGGTGGTGTGTGTGTGTGTGTGTGTGTGTGTGTGTGTCTGTGTGTGTGTGTGTGTGTGTGTGTGTGTGTGTGTGCGCGTGTGTGCACTCCCCACAGGGTGAAACCCAGACCATCCGTTCATCCCATCCAATCTCTGTCCATCCTCTACAAACTGTAGTCACCATAGCAACTTCATGCTAACACCCTAAACCATTAGAGGACATTTTCTAGGGGAAAAACAGTTCCCAGGTCGTCTGCCTGACTGAAGCAGCCAAACTCTCCGGGACCTGGAGGGACAACGTGGCTCCTGTTAGATATTTTCTCTACCAAAGCAGCTTCCTGCCCCTCATGCCTCAACTGCTGCAGTTAACTACATGATTAATGGTCTCCATTAATGTGCTTAAACACTTCTTCTGCAGCCAATAATCGAAAAATCCATAAGCTGCTTCATTAGTTGACTCATTGGCGCACAATGATGTGATTTTAATGCTGATTGCGCAACAGCTACTGTGCTTCTTTAGTCTCAGAGGAAGTGAGAAGATTTCATTTGGTCAGTCAAAATTATGGATATGAATCAGTTAATTATTCACTAAGAAGTATTTTATTGTTCTGTTTAAGGAAAATACTAGTAATATCCTGCATCTAACATGACTGGGAGAAATGTAAACTACACCTAGAATGAAGTACATAAGTATATGACACCAGTGGCCTCCTTTAGACGTCCATTATTCTGTCTTCTTCTCTGAGACTAAATGACACAAAGTCCCCAGCAGCAGCTGGGCCACTCATCTTCAGTATGAATGTGTGCTCTCATACATCTCATGATGCTAATGCTAAACAACTGATTCATTTTGCTCTTAATATGAAGGTTATTGTCACTCATATGACCTGAGAGGACATTAAGAGGAACAACAAGTTTAACTTTAAGTCACAATATGACAGTGTTTTGTTACACCTGTCACTGTCTCTCTTCTCATTGAGTGGAATAACCTATTTTGAAGCACTTTTACATTGAAGCAAACATGATATTATGCTTTTGCCTTAACTGAATGAGCCTTTGATTAATTGAATGAAACTGATTTGCTGATATCTGTCTTGTAAAAAAGACAATTTAATTGCTTTATTTGGCGCATGCAAATGACCCTGACTGGCTTTGTATGCTGCCATCTTCTACCTCTCTCTCTACTCTCTCTATCCATCCATCCCTCCATCTCTCTGACCTTCCTTGTGCATGTGTATCTGTCCAGGTGAAAACAGCTGCGAAGGGGTTAATGACGCCGGAGAGGGAACGGGTGGGTAACTAACTTTTTCATCCACCAGCCAGAGTAATGAGCCTGGGACAAAGTCTGTAGCTGTTTTAGTGTCAGGCAGCCCAGCCACTGGTGGATTCATCAGATATCCCTTGTGTTCACATGCTGGCCAGAGCTAATCTGCCCAACAGGAAATGGCGTTAAAGACATCATTAGATCAGGAGAATAAACAGTGCTACTCAGGAGTTTAAGCCAACTTAAGTGAGGTATTGCCACATACTGCCTTTACTGTGTTCACATTGCAAGCAGCTTGGTTGACAGGTCACTGTATTCTGACTAAATGATTGAATCTGTGTGATAAACGTGCAGGTGTGAAGACAAACTCTCATTTTCTCTGACAACAGACCTTTTTCACAGCAGACATTTTGACTTGTCATATTAGAAAAAGCACATTCCAGTGAGCCAGCATGCACAATATTAAGGCATCCCTATTTAGATATCATTCAATAGACAGAATCACCATGAGGAAGCTAACCAGTGTAGCCTGATGGCAAGGCAAAGCTTTGAAAATATTCTAAATATATCGTATACTTAAACTAATACTTTTTTTTTGGGTACCAAAAAACTAAACAATTTGAGGCAGTGCCGGCTCAGCGCTGTTTCATTTTATGAAAGTGATGTGTAGGGTAATGTAAACCACTCAGTCTATACACCTGTGCTTTTCCTACTGTGACGTCAAAATGGCTGCCGTGAAAAAGATCTATATTGCTTTTGATTATGTTAAACTGAAAAGCAAAGCACTTCAAGACTTTGTTTCAAATCTTAAGTATTTATTTGACATTATCTGTCACTAATTAAATGCTTAAAGAAAAGAAAAATAAATAACTTAAAGACTCAAAAATTAAGTAGCCGACATCTTCTGGGGCCATGTTTTTAGCCCTGCAACATGTTTGTTAAGCCTTGAAGCACCTGCCAGGTAAATGCACTTCCATTGACAAATTGATCCATTGTTTGCAGTGTGAACACGTCGTTAGTATCTCTGACTGATGGAAAAATAAAGATTAGTGTTCTGTTTTTGTAGACAAATAGTTAAAACAAAATCAAGTAGTGAATCTAGAGCAGTAGAGAAACGTAGTCTTTGGGATTCTCACTGTCAATCATTTGTTCATGACGGCACCGATGGAAGCCTCTTGCTCCCTGCGTCTCAGGGATTCCACTCTGGCAGAGTCAGTCGATAATTGACAGTCGAGTTTCAGGTTTTATTTGAATATATATCCCTTCAGAGATACACCACTATTTTGAAACATGCGACATATGCCGCAGACACTCTCCTCTTCCTCCAATCAAAGCTGCTGAAACCTGGCGCATGTTTCCAAGCCCTGCCTCTGCTAAGTGCTTTTAACCAGTGAGGGTTTAGGAGGGAGGGGAGGGATTTATATATATATGTATGGAAATTATAGAAATGATCCCAAGTACAAAATTCAGTTTATAACTTTAATTTTTTCTAATATTTTAGTCTTCATCCTATGAGTTTTTTGACCTGCCCTTCATTGTGATGAATTTTGCTACTAACATTCAACCCACAAAAATAATTCTCATGATTAAACTCAGATTAACTGTAATGGAAATCTTATTTTTGGCATGAATGGAGGCGACAGACAATCAACACTGCGAATGACATTCACAGGCTGTTTATAAAGTTATGATACAAGTCAAAGCAATGGTGTAGTATAGTATTGTTAATTGTCAATTGTTATTGTCATACAAATGTTTAGAAATGTTATTTGAGCCACATCTGTAGGATTTAGTCAGAGAAGCGTGTAGTTACTCCTTTATGGATGGAATAAGTAGCTATTGTGGTTTACTCTATATGTCTGTTAAAGTATTTAAAGTGTGTTTGCTAACTATATGTGACTGCTACCAGGCCAAGTGCTGCCATGCTCCATACCTGGCGAGCAAGGAGACCCCGGCTTCCCCGGTGTACCAGGACAACCAGGTAGGATTTAACAAACAGGGATTTTTATTTTTTGACTCTGACTCTGGCTGTTGTCTCATCTCATGTTGAAATATTTTTTGCTAAAGTAAAACTTTTTTTTTCTGCGGTGGAGCACATTATGTAGCATCTTTTTTCCCCGTTTTCTTTATTTGTTTGTCAAAATGCAAGATCTTTTTGGGAATGAGAAGGGATTGAAGGGCAGTCGCATTGGCCAATGGATGAATGTGATTTTGTTCAAAATGTAATTGACAACACAATGCTGGAGAATGGATTAATTTCACTGTATGCTACTTGAAACATTGTATATGGACAATAATGAAAGGATTTGATTTATGATTTGCTTTCTAATGATAAAAATGTATTTTCTATAGATGTCACTTTTCAAACAGGAAACTCACCAATTCTAGAGGATATTTTGAGCAACAAAAATGTATTCAGATAAAATTGAAGTGCCATAAAAATGCCATTTTAACACAGTGAATGATGCTAATAATTGGAGTCACACCTGTGTGCACCTCCCAGGTTCTAAAGGTGAGCCAGGACAGCCAGGAGGCCGTGGACGTCCAGGGTTTGATGGTGCCAAAGGAGAGAGAGGAGACCCCGGTTTTGGAGGCCAACCTGGACCACAAGGTAAACCTGCGTGGTCTCACATACTATGTATTGTAAATACTGATTTTTTTCTCTGACGTACTAAATAGTATGGTAGTGTGGGTATTTGAAGACACAGTTAGTATTTGTTATCCAGAGCAGAATCAGAGCCAATACTGAAGATTTGAAGCAATGATAATAAGTAATAAGTTACCATTTTGTGTCTGCAGAAGACTCATGTCAGATACTTGTACGCAGCTAACATGACAGGTGGAAGCCATGATAACAAGTGAAAGCAGTAAATTGTGTTTTTGCTGAATTACTTCCAACTTAGAAATGTACATTTTCACTGTACTTGTCAATAAAGTGAGTTTGGTTAATCACCATTAATCACCTCTACTGTTTCCTCCCATGCAGGTTTCCCTGGACCCAGAGGAGATCCTGGAGTTCCAGGTATTCCAGGACAGAGTTTTGACGGAGGCAGGGGGAAGGATGGTGCCCCAGGGCGTCCTGGAGCCAAGGGCCAGCCTGGAGAGGTACTGGGAGCTACACCTGGTTCCCCAGGACAGAATGGTTTACCAGGACTCCCTGGAGACAAGGGCCAGCCCGGGACGCCAGGAGGACCTGGATTACCTGGTGGGTCTGAGACAGAGAGACTCACACTGTTACATTTTTTATGTTTTGTAGTGGTAGCAGCAGTAGCTCAGCAGCAGCAGTAATATCTGTTACTGTTGTTTCTTCCTTCTTCAGGTGGTGATGGACGTAGTGGTGTTCCTGGACTGAAGGGAGAGCGTGGAGTTGATGGTTATCCTGGTAGTCCCGGCCTTCCTGGTCTTCCAGGTGAGCCAACCTTTGGCATTCCCGGTCTGCCTGGATCTCCTGGCGCCAAGGGACTGAGCGGATCACCAGGTGAGAGAAAGATTCAGCAGCCCTGTCCATGTTTCACCAGACTTCTGTTTAATTGTAGACATTTTAGACTTGAATGTGTATGTCTAAATAGTTTTAGATTTATAGTAAAAGAAGAAAATTTTATTTAGTTTCTTGTCCTTCACTCTTCATCCCTGTTGGTTCATTTCTCTTTTTTCCTTGTATTTCTTTCACAATCTTCCATTTTACAAATCAGACACCACAGTTTTGTTCCTGTTGTTTATTCAAACTTTGCATCACCCAAAAGAATGTCTTCTTCTCCTGTTTTGTATTTTTTCCTTCTTTCTTCTCTCCTTCCTACACACCACCACCATTATCTCCATCCATTCTCTCATCCCTCCATCCTTTTCTTGGTGTTGGGTCATTCGCTATAGGCTGCCAAGGTGAGACACTCTCTTCACCATTCATCCATCCATCCATCCACCATCCTTTGCTTCCATCCCTCTATCTTCCTGCTATTCATGCATTAGACCAAACGCTTTAACTGCAGTGTTCCTCAAAGTGTCTGCCTGCCTTACATTTCTCATCCACAGCAAAAAATGTCCATCTCCAAAGTGTGATTGATTTTGCAGTCAGTTAGTCTTGTATCGCACAGCTGATTAAACAAAAATAAAATTTTTCAACTCCATTAATGGTCAGAACAGTGAGTTAAGATGGACATTTTAGCTGCAGGAGATTCAGAAACAGGATGTTCTCAAGAAATGTGACCCCTTTTGTTTGGGTTTTATTTTTGCCAGCCAGTACTAACCCTCATATTTCAATTACATCTTCAAGTGTAGTTCATACTAGATGTGTTTATTGCATTAATTGCAATAGGTTTGAACTTTTTTGGCGCAAATGCTGTTTAACAATGTTGCTGCATCAACGACCGTAGAGGCATTTCCTCCACTCTTAAAAAAAGGACTTTTAATTTTCAACTCATCTCTGCTATGCCCCCAATTTGTAGCAAGTCTGACTAACATTTCATATTTAGTAGCATGGATGTGTTGAAGATGGGTTCTCATTTTAAGAAAGTGAACAGTAGTAGTAGTTTGCTATCCTGTAGGACAAACAAACTTTGGTAACACTTTACTTGAAGGTATCTACATAAGGGTGGCTTGACACTGTCATAACCATGACATGACACTGTCATGAACTTGTCATAAACATTATGTACATGTCATAAATGTTTATGACTGCTGTCATTTGGTTTTTGTAATGACAAGTTGACATTGTTTGGGTAGTCTTGATTATGACAACTTGACATTAATTAAAGTGACATTACCAGAAGTTGTCTTTGTCATGACAAGTTGACATTAAATTTGTTTGGGATGTCCTGGGATGTCCTTAACATGACAACTTGACATTAACACAAAGACATCTTCTGGTAATGTCATCCTGGTTAACCCTATGGGCCCTAGGCGTTTTTGGGGTATTTTTTACATTTCATGTCCTTCTATGTGCCTGTATTTTATATTAATTTTCATATCAATGAAAAAAAAAACAAATCCGTGTTACTAAATTCTTACATTTTTACATGTACCTCACCATAGCAAGTTGGAAAATTACATATTCTGCCATATCTGAAGAGGGGAGACTCTCTGGAATAAGAACCATGATGCTGGGACATTCTGTCACTTCACAGTTGTCCAAAACATGTGGTTTGTTCCAGGCGGACATGATTGCCAGTATTTTTTCATTATTGCAAGAAATTCCATTGACTCATTCACAAGTCAAAAATGTGTTTTATCTGAAAGAAACATGTAATATTTACATCTAAGATAATAGAAAAATAGTCAACCAAGTGCAATGATGTCCTCCAAGATAATATTTGCCACTTTCTTTGCAGTAAACAAAGTTTGTTGTTGTTTTTCAGTTTCAGTTATATATTGGGGGGGGCATTTTGGGCATTGGGGGGGGACACATGTCCCCCTCAATGTAAATGGTGACTTGCATGCATGCATAATTAGGCTACAGTTGTCTGGGTGCGCAAAGGTGAAGTGGCTGGTCTTGTCATACAAAGTTTGATGGAGTGTCAACTGGACAATATGGAGATGTTTGCATCTTGAAAGCCGGACTACAAATGTGGATAGACAGGGAGAAACACACGCAAGCCTAAGACGTGGTAAGATACGATATTCCTCACTATATGAAGTGACTGATAACAAGATCTGTATAATGGGTTGTAAAGAAATTTGTCAAGTTTTTATTTTGTAGACAATTAATCTGGATTTATAGCATGATGGGATGACAGCACAATGATATGTGTGGTATCACTGGAAAGCTCTGCTCCTGCGCTTTCATGTGATATGCGTGGCATTTCTGTGCGACCCTGCATTCGCGAGTAATCCATCCAAGAGTAATGTGTGTGCAAAGCTGTGTGAAAGCTTTGTTATACATAATTTTTGTGTAACTTTATCATTCTTTTTCACTGTGAAAACATTGGACTACCGACAGTGGTCTTGTCGGAAAGCTACAACTCTGCTGTTTCACGTGATATGTGTGGCTTCTCGCTATGACACACGGTCACGGAGAAAATCAATAGAGAAGAACAGGTGTGAATTTGGATGCACTATGTGTTGTTCGGGCCCATAGGGTTAATGTCAAGTTGTCATTATAAGGACATCCCAAACAAATTCAATGTCAACTTGTCATGACAAAGACAACTTCTGGTAATGTCACTTTGATTAATGTCAACTTGTCACAATCAAGACAACCCAAACAATGTCAACTTGTCATTACAAAAACTGAATGACACTTAATGACAGCAGTCATAAATGTTTATGACATGTACATAATGTCCATGACAGGTTATCAGTTATGGTAGTGTCATGTCACTCTTATGTAGATACTTTAAAGTAAAGTGTTACCCAAACTTTAGACGGTTGAACCTTGCTAATTCAGTTTGGAATTGCACTTGAGGTTTTGTACCTATTTGAATGAAATAGCTCAGTATAATTACAGCTTTGATCTATTTTAAATCCGTGTATACAGTCAGGTCCATAATTATTTGGACAATGATACAGTTGTCATCATTTTGGCTCTGTACACCACCACAATGGGTTTTAAATGAAACAATGAATACGTGCTTAAAGTGCAGACTCTCAGCTTTCATTTAAGGCTTTTTTCAAAAATGTAGTATGAACCGTGTAGGAATTACAACCATTTCTTCACACAGTCCCCCAACTTTAAGGGCTCATAAGTATTTGGACAAACTAACATAATCATCAATTAAACAGTCAGTTTTAATACTTGGTTGCAAATCCTTTACAGTCAATGACTGCCTGAAGTGTTGGACACATAGGCATCATCAGATGCTGGGTTTCTTCCCTGGTGATGCTCTGCCAGCCCTTTACTGTAGCCGTCTGCACTTCCTGCTTGTGTTTTGGGTGTTTTGCCCTCAGTTTTGGCTTCAGCAAGAGAAACGCATGCTCAGTTGGATTCAGGTCAGATGATATGACTTGACCATTGCAGAACTTTCCACTTCTTTGCCTTAAAAATGTCTTTGGTTGCTTTTGCAATATGCTTCAGGTCATTGTCCAACTGCACTGTGAAGCATCGTCCAATGAGTTTTGAAACATTTAGTTGAATCTGAGCAGATAATGTAGCCCCAAACACTTCAGCTTTCATCCTGCTGCTCTTGTAAGCAAGACAAGACTTCACTAGAATAAATACAGAGGGTTTATCACAAGATGCAAACCATTGGTTAGCCTTAAAAATGGAAGGCCAGATTAGAGTTTGTCAAAAACCATGTAAAAAGCCTGTACAGTTGTGGAACAGCATACTATGGACAGATAAAACAAAGATCAACTACCAGAATGATGGGAAGACAAGAGAAGGAAGAAGGGAAGGAACTGCTCATGATCCAAAGCACACCACCTCATCAGTGAAGCATGGTGGAGGTACTGTTATGTCATGGCCATGTATGGCTGCCAGTGGAACTGGTTCTCTTGTATTTATTGATGATGTGACTGCTGACAAGAGCAGCAGGATGAAAGCTGAAGTGTTTGGGGCTACATTATCTGCTCAGATTCAACTAAATGTTTCAAAACTCATTGGACGATGCTTCACAGTGCAGTTGGACAATGACCTGAAGCATATTGCAAAAGCAACCAAAGACATTTTTAAGGCAAAGAAGTGGAATGTTCTGCAATGGTCAAGTCATATCATCTGACCTGAATCCAACTGAGCATGCGTTTCTCTTGCTGAAGCCAAAACTGAGGGCAAAACACCCAAAACACAAGCAGGAAGTGCAGACGGCTACAGTAAAGGGCTGGCAGAGCATCACCAGGGAAGAAACCCAGCATCTGGTGATGTCTATGTGTCCAACACTTCAGGCAGTCATTGACTGTAAAGGATTTGCAACCAAGTATTAAAACTGACTGTTTAATTGATGATTATGTTAGTTTGTCCAAATACTTATGGGCCCTTAAAGTTGGGGGACTGTGTGAAGAAATGGTTGTAATTCCTACACGGTTCATACTACATTTTTGAAAAAAGCCTTAAATGAAAGCTGAGAGTCTGCACTTTAAGCAGGTATTCATTGTTTCATTTAAAACCCATTGTGGTGGTGTACAGAGCCAAAATGATGACAACTGTATCATTGTCCAAATAATTATGGACCTGACTGTATGTCTCTGAAATGAGCCAATACATGCTTGTATCTGTAATAACAGTCTAAGTGCAATTGCAGCCTAACCAAGGCAATGAAACAATGTAATGGAACGTGTGTTTACATTGTTGCCTACTTTTTTGCCAAATTGTGTGTGTGTATTCAGAATATAAATGAATTAATAAATTAATTGCTATACTTATTAATAAACTATTCATAGTATTTGTGTCAGAGGTAAGTTTATTTATTCTGAAATGAAAGGTAAGTTTATATTGCCTTATAGTGTTTTTTCTTTCACCTAATAAGTTGTGTGTCTGAATAAGTAAAATCTATACTCACATTATGATATTTTTATATCAGTTCTGTGTTTTAGATCTGGATATAAAGATATCTCCACTTAAAATGTAGATTATGACTTGTGTCTGGCTAAATATCTCACCGTCTTTCTTTCGCCCTGTTTTGCCATCCATCATCGTTCCACCACCAGGTTTCCCCGGTCGAAAAGGAGACAGAGGAGACCCAGGTTTCCCAGGACCTGCTGGAATGAAGGGAACTCCAGGACTGCCAGGCACCCCTGGATCACCAGGGCCCAGGGGACCCCCTGGACCCCCAGGACCAGGAACTGTAGAGGGAATTCCAGGAATACCAGGAAGGAAGGGTAGGCTGGAGCTCACAGTTGATTTTCTTACTTGTAACATCTCCTTACAGTGACAACATTTTGATTCTCTGTGTCTTCCCACAGGCGAGAGAGGTTTCCCAGGAGTGATGGGTTTCCCTGGACTACCAGGTCGTCCTGGAAGCCCAGGGTTTTCTGGAGGGAAAGGATTGCCTGGAGGGCCAGGAAGAGATGGACTACCTGGCGGTCCCGGATACCCCGGACAGAAAGGTAGAGCGCCCAGAACAGGAATTAGGACGATGACAACAGGGCTGCGATTACAGGATGGCAGTGTCACAACAGGCCAATTGAAGTGGAGTAGGGTGATCTACAGCCATAAGTGCTAACATCCATGTGTGTCTACTCCTGTAGGTGAGAGAGGATATCCTGGCCCCCGCGGCTTGCCCGGTGTCCCTTTCCGATCAGAGTTTGTGGAGAGAGGAGAACCTGGAACCCCTGGCAGTAGCGGCCTTCCTGGCTTCCCTGGACCCAGAGGTAACACGACTTCTTCTTGACACGGACTGTAAATGTAAAACATGATATTGTGTTCAAGGAAGCCCGACAATAAACTAAAATTACTCATGATCAATTATTCCATCAGAGTATCACTTGTGTGATCAAATCTGTCATTTTCTGCCGAGCTGATGAGGATGTTTTCTCCGTGTTGCACCTGTAACCCCTCAACTCTGTGCCTGCTTTCAGGTGACAAGGGTCTGCCAGGTACACCTGGTCGTCAAGGTCTGCCTGGACTTCCTGGTTTCGCTGAGCAGAGTAAAGGACAGCCGGGACAGCCTGGGTTCCCCGGGCAACCAGGAACTCCAGGCTTCCCCGGACCAAAGGGAGAAGCTGGCATCATGGGATTCCCTGGCATGTCTGGACCAAGGGTAAAGAAACACACACACACACACCCCTACATACGCAAACATGCAGAGCAAGTTCAGCCAGTGAGACTCACGTTCTGACGGCTTTCTTTAGGGTGATGATGGTGCTCCTGGTTTACCTGGCAATCCTGGAGAGTTCGGTCGGCCTGGTGGCAAAGGTGAGTGTGAATATCAATTATCCTTCAGCTCATCTTCTATCAAATCTAGGCATTCAACCTCACATCTGTATTTGAATACTTAAATACATATATCAGGTCTTTGTCTCACATGTTTTGTTCCTCAGGTGCACCCGGAGAGAGTTATGGTTATCCTGGAGCGCCAGGACCTAAAGGCCAGCCAGGAAACCCAGGCATCCCAGGTAAGACCCATCATGGTTGGTTTTAATAAAACCAGTTGCCCCTTGTCTTAATATAATCAAGCGTTCTCTGGATATTCCAAAAGAAGCTTCTTTAAGCTGCTTTTAACTTGAGAAAAGACTCCACAGTTCACCACTTACATATTCACATTGTTTTATTCTCACTTGGGCAGCTCCCACACTGTTAAAATGGGTTTGGCTTTTATTGCAACTTTTTGCCTCTGTTCAGCCTACAATGAAAAGTTAAAACTTTAACCTATTAAATTGATTGTCTCTCTTCAGGTGGACGTAGCAATGATGGCGCACCTGGTGAAAACGGTTTTCCAGGAAGTCCAGGTTTCCCTGGAGCGAAGGGAGCTCCTGGTGAAGCAGGACGGCCTGGAATAATGGGTGAGAGAGACCGCTACCATGACAAACACATAACCAGCTGCTATATTTCTTTTGAGACACCAGACAGTCAGAGGAAACCACGTTCAGACAGTAACACATTTGCCTCGGCTCCTGTACAGGCTCCCCTGGTTTCCCCGGGCCAAAGGGCCAGGCTGGCTACCCAGGAAGAAGAGGAGCAGATGGGCCTCCTGGTCTGCCTGCAGGTCCTGGAGGTCCTGGAGCCAAAGGTGAGAGAAATATTGCTAAAGCACGTTTATATTGTGTTTCCAAATGAGATGAGAGAGCACAGCAGGTAAAGATGTAAGCTGAGGCTGTGGACAAACACTCTGTTGTGTTTCTACAGGTGTGCCTGGACCCCCTGGTTTGGATGGACTTAATGGCCTAGGTGGACCTAAAGGCCTCCCTGGAACCCCAGGCAAGTACTTCTATAAACACACCAGAATTATGCTAGGAATTCCATGGGCCCCATTTCCACCAAGCAGTACGGTACAGTTCAGCTCAGTTCAGTACCGTTTCCACTGTGAAAAGTTGTGGATGGTACCAATGGAACCATTCTGTACCGTCCCCATTTTTGGTCCCCCCTCTGTTGGGGTACCTAGCACACAGATCTGGTACTAAAAGGTGGTGCTGTGAACACTACAGTCTGTTGATTGGTCAGTAGAGGACAGTCACTCTGCTCAGGGCTGAGCTGTGGCTGGTTTTGAGGCTCATGTAACCACTGTTCATACCATGGAGAGTTTTACATATATTAGTACACTATAAAATAAAATGGATGATGAAAGAGGGGCAGACTGGAAACGCTAAATGGATCTAGGGTCTAGCTACCGTGTCTGAAGGGTTACTTTTGGTTCCAAAGGGACCATACCGGATGTGTTTGATGGAAACTGCGCTTATGTGGAGCATCAAATGACTTTTAAAGGAGTCTGAAGAGACTTAAACCAATTCAATGCAATTCAGATCACAGATCATAGTTTGCCTCAGAGGGCTTTACAACATAAGATATAGATTAACAGCTGTTTTGTTGTATTTGAATCCAGGTGGGAGTGTAGGAGGTCGCCCAGGAGCTCCTGGTATTCCAGGGTTAAAGGGAGAGAGAGGCGTCTCCTACCCAGGAGGTCCAGGCTACCCTGGACTAAAGGGAGAGAGAGGAGAGTCAGGTAAGTTAGACGTCAAAGAAATTTTAAAATGCCAATTAAATTATGAATGAAATATTATTATATCAAACTAATTGTTTGTTTTTGTGGATGCCAGGTGGTCCTGGACGCCCAGGGTTCCCTGGTCGGCCCGGACCTCCTGGTCCTACTGTGGGGTCGGATATCCCCGGACCTTTGGGAGACCCTGGCCTTCCTGGACTGGATGGAGAGTATGGTAAATATGTTTTCTCAATTAAATTATCTCCCATTTCCTATTACCTTTCATTTCCTTTCCTTCCCTTTTTCTCCTTTCACTCAATTTGCTTATTTTTCCTTTCTCTCATCTCCCCTCTTCTCTCCTCTTCTCTACTTTGCTTTCTATCCTTTCCTTCCATGTCCTTTCCTTCCCTTTGTTCCCTCTTCTCCCCTTTCCTTTTCTTCCCTTCCCTTTGTCTCCTTTTTTTTTATTTCCCTTCTCTCCTTTCCTTTCCTTTACTTCCCTGTCCTTTCTTTTCCTTTCCTCTCCCCTATTCTTTCCTGTTATGTTCTCTACTTTCCTTTCCTTTCCTTTCCTTTCCTACTCTCCTCTCATCTCTTCTCATTTCCTCTTCTTTAATTTCCTTTCTTGTCTCTCTTTGCCTTCTCTTTCCTTCCCTTCCCTTTTTCTCCATTTTGTTCTTTCCCTTCCCTTCTCTCCTTCCCTTCTCTCCTCCCCTTTCCTTCCCTCTCCTTTGATTTCCTTTCTCTCCTTTCCTCTACTCTCATCTCTTCTCCTTTCCTGTCCTTTCTTTTTCTTCCCTTTCTCTCCTTTCCTCTCCTTTGGTTTCCTTTCCTCTCATCTCTTCTCCCCCTCTCTCCTTCTAACCCTCTCCTCTCCTCTCTCCTCCAGGATTCCAAGGTCCTCCAGGTCCTCCCGGGCCTCCTGGTCCAGGCACAGCCCAGGGAGACAGAGGTGACTCTGGGCTCCCAGGCTTCCCTGGCTCCCCTGGCAGGAAAGGAGACTCAGGCATCCCTGGAGGCCCCGGACTTCCAGGCAGCTCTGGTTTCAAAGGTGAAGTGAAGCTCCAAGCAGTCCATAAACAAAAATACAATAATACGAAGATATTAAACTCATAATAATTGTAATAATAATTGAGTTTCTAAAAATGTAAAACCTTGTATTTTTGCTTTTTAGGAGGACGAGGTGAGACTGGCTTCAGTGGAGGTCCTGGTCTCAAGGGTTTCCCCGGTGATCCTGGTTTCTATGGAAGCAAAGGACCAAAGGGATTTCGAGGTAGGAGGACTTTTATCTTCCCACAGGTAGAATTCCATAAGTGGGTTGTGATGGTACCAGAAAAGAATGAAAACTTTTCTCTCTCTCGCACCTCACCTCCTTCACCCGTTCTTCCACCAATATTCCCTCTTTTTCCCTCTCACACATTCACCCTGTATTTTACCTCCACCCATCACCTGTCCTCCCTCCCTCTGTCTGTCCATCACCTCCTCTCCAGGGCGTACTGGTCGTAAGGGTCTCCCCGGTGTCACGCTGCCCATGGTGCCACGAGATTACGAGCGACCCTACGGAGAAATGGGTTATCCCGGTGCAGGCGGGGGCAATGGTGCCCCTGGAGAATCTGGTCAGCCTGGAATACCTGGACGTCCAGGTGAGTGGTGAATCAGTGCAGCTTTTTACAGATGATGTTTGCAGTGTTGAAGTTGTTGAGAATGATCTCTTTCTTGTGTGGCTGTTCTCTGTTAATCACATTAGCTTTACCTCTAGGAAACAGCGTGTTTTAGACAGCTGTTGTCACTATTTAAAGGAGAATATTTAGTGAAGTTAATCCAGTGTGCTTTACAGTGCAGGGAAACAGAAACGTAATAAAGTGGAATATAAAAATAAAAACAAATGGCTGTCTGACCCCTTGTTCACTCTCCTTCCGCAGGTCCTAAAGGTCGTCCTGGTTCTGTGGGCAAACTTGGCAGGACTGGATCTCCTGGTCTGCCAGGATCCATCGGTGATGGCGGACCCCCTGGTTTCCCTGGACCTACTGGAGAACAAGGTCAGTAGTCTGTCTCTCTTTGTGTCTCAGATCCTGAAGCAACTGATAACAAATATAACACAGCTTTACTCCAAAGTTGGTAGAAAACATTAAAATAACAGATTGTATTGTATTTGATGCCACAACTTATTTTGTCTGCAGTTCTTGCAGTCTGTGACCATTCAAGCTGAGACGTTGAAATGCTGTTTATCACCATAAAAATACATAAATGATAGTGCCGGCTAAAAAGCTCCTTTAACCCATACATGCCTCCACACCAATCCCTGGACTATCACTGTATCAACATGAGAAACAAAATACTACCATCCCCACTGACAGCAGTTCCAACATCTGTCTAAATATCCTCTCATTTCCTCTTCTTCAGGTCCCCCTGGTGCAGCTGGACGTCCCGGCCCCCCTGGTGGTGTCGGCCGCAGTTACAGCATCGGATACACGCTGGTGAAGCACAGCCAGAACTCCCAGGTCCCCATGTGTCCTCAGGGCATGGCCAAGCTGTGGGACGGATACAGTCTGCTGTACGTGGAGGGACAGGAGAAGGCACACAACCAGGACCTCGGTATGGAAACACTTTTACTCACCCAGCCAAAAACACGATGGCAGTTGTTTCAGTCGTGGACCCAACTGCACATAAAATAGTTACAGTCCACTAGACTCTTGTGCGCTTTCATCAGCTCGGCATTTAATGAGGTCTGGAGCATACGTTATAACAAACATCATGTCACCAGGGAAATCGGTCAAATTTTGGAAAAATCACTTTCCTTTGTTTTGTATGGATCACATCCAACATGAGTTTCAGTTTTCTGACGATACCTGCTGTCTACAGGTTCATCCAACACTTATGCATTCACATTTCTCTATTTCCAGTTCACGCAATAGAGTAATTTTTCACTTCCTGCCCTCCATGCAAACAAGCTCTAACTGCTTTACCCCTCTTTCTCTCTTTCTTTGTGTCTGCAGGTCAGCCAGGGTCGTGCCTCCCCAGGTTCAGCACCATCCCCTTCCTGTACTGCTCCCCCAATGAGGTCTGCTACTACGCCAGCCGCAACGACAAATCCTACTGGCTCTCCACGACCGCACCCATACCCATGATGCCTGTGGCCGAGGAGCAGATTCTACCTTACATCAGCAGGTGCTGCACACTGCTTTGACTCTGTGTTACTGTGACTGTTAAATCAAACTGCACCCTTTACGTTACAAACGTACCATACATGTGCACCCTAACCCTTTTTATTTATTTATCTCCTCTTGTACAAACACTCCAGGTGTTCTGTGTGTGAGGCTCCGTCTCAGGCTGTGGCTGTCCACAGTCAGGACATGACCATCCCCACCTGTCCTCCTGGCTGGAGGAGTCTCTGGATAGGATACTCCTTCCTCATGGTAAACTATTTATAACCATTTCTTTATAATAAAGGCATACAAATAAAATCAATCATCATCCTCTCCTGCAGCAGCAACAGCAGTTTGTGTCAGATAGATACTGAATCAACTTCTCTCCTGTGCAGCACACAGCAGCCGGCGCCGAGGGCGGCGGTCAGTCCCTGGTGTCTCCCGGCTCCTGTCTGGAGGATTTCCGCGCAACGCCGTTCATCGAGTGCAACGGGGCCAAGGGCACCTGCCACTACTTTGCCAACAAGTACAGCTTCTGGCTCACCACGGTGGAGCCCAGCCAGGAGTTTGTCTATTTGCCATCACAGGAGACCCTGAAGGGAGGCCAGGAGCGCTCCAAAGTCAGCCGCTGCCAAGTCTGCAGCAAGCTCTTGTAGTAGGAGGAGGAGCGGAGGGATGGAGGTGATATATCAACACCTCAAAGGAAAAAAAAGAGAGAGGTGTTGATGATGGAGGATGAGATGATTTATACAGAAATCTATAAAAGAACACGTGACTGACTGTACATGAGCCCCTCTCCTGAATCCAGTCGAACAACATCGACTCCGTTTTTAGAGTTTTTGATCCCTTTTAGGAATGAATGGCTTATTATATAAAAAAGAAGAGTTGGAGGGAGGAAACAGAAAGAGAAGGGCTTCAGTGTGATGGCTCTTGTCTAGATTATCACTGACAATGGTGCTATTGTTTATGTTCTTTGTGTTTTATTTTTTTGTGTCTGTTTTCTCGTTACGGTTTTGGCGAGAATCGTTCTCGGCTACCTCGGAGAGTGCCACCCCTTTGGATAGCACTGCACCGCTTACACATCAGGGCGGGACGTCTGCTCCAGGTGCATCGGTTCAGACTGTTTGGCAGTCTGTTGTATCTTAACTTTAGTGAGCTGATGTAACTGAAGCAGAGTCACCTGATCACGGTTCAGACACACATTTTTAGGGAAATGGCCGCCATCGATTTTCGCCTCTTTTGTATTATCTGCCGGCTACAACCACTTCAACTACAGTGATGTTACAGATTGTGTTACGTTAAAGCTGCACCAGCTCAAAACTTACTGGTGGTTTTGCACGAATGACTCCATTGGTCATCACTCATTTCAGAACAGTATGGAAATCAAATTGTTGAGATTTGAGACTTGTTAGTGCGCCGTGTTGTTCAGTGTTTCCCCCACGTTAGCTGCTTTAGCCCTTATGCTAACAAAACTAAGCACTCATTCCACCACCTACTGCAACACCAAATTCTGCTCTCAAATTTACCACTTAGAAGTTTCTTTAGATTTTAAACATGTAGCCCACTCTTCAGAATATTTATCAATTAGTTTTCGCCAAATCCATATGAACCACTCTCCACATCAGCTTGAATTTGATCCATGTTAGCGATTCTGACCCTGTTATCTTAACCTCACCTGTTCAGCTGACTTTGGCGGTTTACATAACGGACACTCAACCTTCCTTCTGTTATTACAGACATGTGAACTCATTACAGACACTTGAGTCGTTCATGGACTCATAGCGATGCACCGCTGCAGTTCAGGTAGTGCACATTTCTTTTGGGCTGTCAGGGTTCCCACTGCCAGGCCTTTACATTTAAAGGGGGAACACTGTTGTTTTTAGGAAGTTGCAGTATTGTAGTTGTATGTTTCTTGGAAAATGACATCTTTGTGCAGTTAAGGAAATGTATTTAAAAGCATCTGAGTCACTAAAGTCACCAACTTTTCTGAAGATACTGTACAGTATTTTCATCATTGTTGTGTGTGCAATATCAGATGCACAAAACACACTTGGGAAAAAATATAAAAGAATAAAATGTATTTCAAAAACAGGAGAAAAGTAGCAAAATGTTAAAAAAAAAAAAACTGAGGAAAAGTGAGAGAAAAGGGCAAAAATTGATAAATACAAAAGCAAATTGCTGCCGGTACACAACATTTTAAATCAGATTCTGGACCAACAGCAACTTTTTAAGGCAAAAAAAACAACAACAGATTTCTCAGTCCTTTTTTAATTTACATTTTTGCTCATGTGAGTGGATTTTCTAACAAAGCAAGCAACATTTTCAGGTGTAAACTATCAGATTTCAGATACGGCTGCTTCTAACCGACAATTAAGCCACTTTTTATTATTTTAAGCAAGTCATGATTCTTCACAAGTTGATTTTCATAGCTTACAGAAATCATTTCAAACCCACGATAGCCTTGACATCATCAAATCTTCCTAAACGTGTTAAGTATGATGAAAGCGAAAGCTCCAGTTTGTAGTTATCGTGCAAAACGACCAGTGCAGTCCTTTAACTTTCAACATTTGTCACATTTCATACGCCTGTGATCTCTGTACGTGTCACAGTACGACTCTATGGTGCTACAAAATACCCTGACAGTTGACTTGAACTCGGCAACACTTAAAATATTAACCTGCATGCAATAAAAAAGGAAGAAAGAGTTTCTGAAACAAAACCTCTTCACCAGCTGACTGTAACTAACAACTTGAATGAGGCCACCCATTCATATGTATTGCACTGATGTGAGCTCACATGGGTTAGAACAAGAAACAAGTCAGAACATATTTCCTCTCCACCTTCACAGGCTTTCATCTTTACATTGTGACCAAACTAGTGTTTTTTAAATCACCCTTTACTCACTAAATTAGCAACGGAAAACCAAACACACACACACACTCTCTGATTGTTAATTATTGCTGTACATAGTGCTTCCTGTATTTCCCACCAAAGTATGTCGGAGCAAAAGTCTATAAAGCTATTAGCTCTTTATTTTATTTTTATTTTTTTCCAGTCCTTGTGTGTTTTCTCTGTCCCTGGATAAGAAAGAGGAAGAATTTACTCATTTTGTGTCTATAAATGTAGATTTTGGAGCCAGATTTATGACAGAACGTCTCATTTTTTTACATTAACTTTGGTTTGCAATGTAAATTAAAGGTCTTAATTAATAAAACTGGTTAATATCAGACTCTTGTGACCTTATCCTCGGACAGTGGAAGCTGCTTGGTGACTTGTAACCACTATGACCACTGTTTCTAGCACATAGCTCTGTCTCTCTGCTGGTAGCCCTGATTTTATTACTATGTCGCATTTTACTTCCTTTTTTGTTTTATTTTATTTTATTTTTCTCTTTTTTGTTTTGTCAGCCTTTGTGGTTTTGTAATCTAGATTGTAATTATTTTACATAAATCATGATACTATCCCCTGGTTTTATTTACTGAGATGGGAGGGAATGGGATGATAATGATGTGTACATTAAATTTTATGGAGAAAAAAAATGCCTTTCGGATTATGTTTTATATGGAGAATATATTCACCTCTGATGATATAACAGACGCAGCAACTGTCTTTATTGTCTGTTCGGTTGTTATCCCGTTTTCAAAGCAAGGAGTTGAACTGTTTTATGCCTGGAGTGACAGAAAAGAAATGCAGTTTTCCTCAAAGAGGATCTATAACAAAAAAAAATGGTAATAACATGTCTGTTACTGTAATGTTTATTTCTGTGCTCACACACTTTGAAATAAAGTCTCTAAACTAAGAATCTCTGATGCTGAATTATTATTCGTAAAGCAATTTTGTGTTTCAGTAATTTTATGAAAGCAGGTGTTTTTTCTTTCATGTTTGATAAAATAGAATTTAAAATTTGATAAAATAAATAAACATTGACGCAGGATAAAAGTTAATGTAGAAAGAAAATTTAAATAATAGTGTTGGAAAGTCAGTAAGTACTTAAGTACAATTTTGAGGTACTTGTACCCCTCTTGAGTATTTCTATTTTATGTTACCCTCTGCTTTTACTCTATTAATTATTAATCAAATAATAAATTATGATATATTATTAAAGGTTAAGCCAACCAGGGGTATATAAAGTAATCTAAATTATCTAAATTATATTTTTACTTTTGGTACTTTAAGGATATTTTGATGCTGATGTTTTTGTACTTTTATTTAGCTAGAGTTTGAATGCAGGACTTTTGCCTGTGAGGGACTGTTCACTATGAGATGGGACAGGGTGGTGCAAAACAGGGGTGTCACTTTAAATATATTTTTAAGCACTGGGGAGGGAGTTTTGTTATTTGATTTGCTTAGGGAAGTTACATTTTACTTTAAATGGTTGTATTTTGTATTTTTGTATTTTAAATACTCTCAGAACCCCAAAACCCATACAGTTGCAATCAAATTTATTCAACCCCCATTGCATATTAGGCTTATTGGCAAAAAATAAAATTTCTCAGCTGTTTGCAATAAACAAAGTAGACAAGAACTGTTTAAGTAGTTCAATGAAACTAATATTACAGGGTTTTGATCCAAATTCAACACAAAATGCTACTTTTAATGACTACTGCAGTCTCAAAATTATTCAACCCCTTCATGACAACCATCTTCAGTATTTGGTAGAGCACCCTTTTGCTGTTATGACCTGTTGCAAACGTGATGCATAGCCAGACACCAGCTTCAGACAGTGTTCCTGAGGAATCTCAGCCCATTCCTCATGGGCAATGGCCTCCAGTTCAGTAATATTCTTGGGTGTGCGTTTTGCAGCCGCCTTCTTCAAATCCCACCAGAGATTTTCTATGGGGTTCAAGTCAGGCGACTGTGACGGCCACTCTAGAATCTTCCATTTCTTCTTCTGAAACCAAGCCTTGGTGGACTTTGAGGTATGCTTGGGATCATTATCCTGTTGGAAGGTCCAATGACGCCCAAGCTTCAGCTTCCTCACAGACAGCATGACATTTTCACCTAAGATTTCCTGATACTTGACTGAATCCATCGTGCCCTCCACACGCTGCAGGTTTCCAGTGCCAGAGGCAGCAAAGCAGCCCCAGAGCATCACTGAGCCACCGCCATGCTTCACTGTAGGCAGGGTGTTCTTTTCAGCATATGCTTCATTCTTCTTCCTCCAGACATACCGCTGTTCCATAGGCCCGAAAAGTTCCAGTTTTGTTTCATCACCCCACAGAACAGAATTCCAAAACTTCTGTGGCTTATTTATATGGTTTTGAGCATAATGGAGCCGACTTTTCTTGTGCTTTTGGGTCATTAGTGGTGTACGTCTTGGAGTCCGGGCATGGAGCCCTTCGGTGTTTAGTATGCGCCTTATTGTACAAACTGAAACCTCAGTGCCTGCTGCCACCAAGTCTTGCTGCAGGTGTTTTGCAGTCACTTGAGGGTTTTTGACCACTTGACTTCTCAGGAATCTGGTGGCAGCTGCTGACAGTTTCCTCTTTCTGCCACGTCCAGTTAGTGTAGCCACTGTTCCTTTGACTTTGAACTTGCGAACTATGCTTCCAACTGTATCTCTAGGAACATTCAGAGCTTTTTCTATCTTTTTGTGTCCTTTTCCTTGTTTGTGCAAGGCAATGATTTCTTCTCTGAACTTTTTGGACAATTCTTTTGACTTTTGACTTCTTTTGCCATATTTCTAACATGCAATCAAACGTCACTCTCAACAAACCCCTAGCCAGTCCAGGTATTTATGTGTTCTGTCTCAAGCACACCTGAACTAATGAAGCCCTTGATTAGTTGCACCAGGTGTGCTTGAAACAGGGGGTTGAATAATTTTGAGACTGCAGTAGTGGTTAAAAGTAACATTTTGTGTTGAATTTGGATAAAAACCATGGTAATATTAGTTTTATTAAACTATTTCAACTGTTCTTGTCTACTTTGTTTATTGCAAACAGCTGAAAAATTGTACATTTTGCCAATAAGCCTAATATGCAATGGGGGTTGAATAATTTTGATTGCTACTGTAAGTGCGGTTTAAAGGCATGCTTGCTTCAGCCCTTCATGGTCAAGGGTATAATTGACCGTTTTTGACTACTGTTTAATTGTACCTTTAAATTTCACCTTTCAGCACAACCTCAGCTGTGTGACTTTACAGTTATTTTTTCATTTTGACACTGTATTAACACATTGGACCTAAAGTCACACTAAAAACACCACCAGCAGGAAAGGGGGCGTCATGTTTTTGTTTTTTTTTTTGGCTTGCGAGCACTTTCATTAGAATAGCCCGTTTTTACCGTTTGTTCCTGCACCAAACATGTACTAAAACAAGACGACAATATTCAGGAAAAAGCATGGTGTAAATTATATATCATAAGTCTGGTTTTACTTGGCCTATCAACACAATTTGAAACTGGTATATAGTTTCAAATTCGCACTTCCGACACAAGTTGAAACAGTGACTCAGCGAGGCTGCGTCTTGCTGCTACGTCATCTTAAATCGGTCACGTGATTTGGACACACCAGAGGGTTAAAAGTCTTCATATGACACCATTTATCATAGCAAGAAACTGTCAAATATGGTTATCCGTGGTGACAGGAGGGTCATGCATTTTCCCCTAGTCACTCAGGGAGGCTCAAGGAAACATATTTGTAGCTCCGGAAAGGAACATGATATCAGGCATTCCCCTGCTCTGATAAATTAAGTACAGTCCCTAACAGATTATTTTATTGCCACTTTCACTTATGTAAAAGATGTGAAAACTTCTTCCACCACTGCAAAACACAACGAGATATGAATCAAATGTGATAAAAATAGTCAAGTAGATTTATTCAATAGTTTTTTAAATCATTAAAATTAAATTAATACATTAAATTATTACAGACCAATGGGAATAGGTAGAGTTCGTGGCCGCTATGACACCTCCCTGACGGTAGGGGGCGACAGAAGCCTCACTGTCAGCACTACAACAGAAGAAGCCTAGCATCACAACAACACAGCTACCAACGCTAGCTCGTAGGAAAGCGAACTGTATTTTTTTCTGCTAATTTGGAACATATTAACAGGTGAGTAACACAGTTTACAGCCTAAAGAGCATCTAAATTACATGTTAAGTTCATGTGAATGTCGCTACAGTCGTTAAATCACATATTAGTGTGTGTCAGCGGTGTGTAAAGGTTAGCTTGCAGGCTAACATTAGCCCCGCTAGCTTCTTGTGCTGTCATAATCTAACGTTTAATTCTGGTTCAAACTGCGAAGTCGCTGCATGCAAACAGTCTGGTGTGTCATAAAGATAAATGCGTAGCTACAATTTGATGTTGCTGCCATCTTTATCGCTGCAACATGGGCTGGGTAATGCCACAGTTGGCTAGATATTATACTGCAACCTGTTATTTTACAACACAAACATACAACATTACACTAACATTGGCTCAAAGTGATTTCTTGTGTCTTCTCCTGAACATAAAGGGCATTTTGGTGTGTGGTATGCAGGGTTTATACGTTTGCAGGTAATGTGTGCTGATGCTTATGTCTACACAATGATTTAAAGGGTTGTAGAGATCATTTGCAGTTTAAGAAGAAAGAAATAAGAAAGAATAATTAGACGATATGAAGTTGACATGTAGAAGCTGTCCCCTTGTTGAAGGTAACATTGTGTATGGCTCTGAATTAGATATTGTAAGTATTGGTTGGTAACTGTAACTGACAGACCATCTATGTCTTCTAATAACTTGTGTTTTGAGAGAGGGGCAGGTAAAGTGAGACTGTTTTCTTTTTTGTGCATAGACATGAGTGGAAAATGATTAAACTAAATTAATGTGTGTTCAGGTGAAAAGGTGTACTGGTAACCAATGTACAGTAGGGCTGCCAGGATTAGTCGTCTAATCGATGACTAATGGACTATTAAAATAATCTGTAACTATTTTAGTAGTTGACTAATTGGTTTGAGTCATTTTTCATAGAAAAGTACTATAAAAGTACCCCAAAATACTCTTACTGCAGCTTCTTACGTTCAAATATTGGCAGCTTTACACACTCTCCTATGACGGTGAAGTAAAACTCTTTGATGTGAGTACGAAACAAGACATTAGATGACATAATTTTGGAGTTTGGGAGAGACAGACCGACATTTTTCAACAATTCAACACATTTTTCGATAAAATTAGATTAGTCGACAATGAAAATAATCATTAGTTGCAGCCCTGATGTACAGAAGTACTACAAGTGAAGGTCTACAGCATTTTATTTCCATTTACAAGCTAATTAATGGCAGTAAAATGCACATATACATGTTACATTTTAAATGTTGAATAATAGCTTCCCAGTGCAGAAAGGGTGACTTATGTGTGGTACACATTTCTATGTAAAAAAAAAAAAAAAAAAAAATGCCAACATGTGTTATAACCAGAGTCTTGATTTGTCATCTTAAAAGTATTCTTAAACCACAATTTTAAGAATACTTTTTCACACTTAATTTGAGGGGTACACATTGGTTTGTCATAACACTTTAATCACCAAACTAACATTATATAAAATCCTCCTAGAGGAAATTACTCAGACTTTGCCATTAAGCAAAGGTCAAAGGTCAGGATTCATCCAAACAACAGCAGACCGAAATGAGATCTTAATCCTCGAATAGATGGAGCCCACACGCCTGGGCCAGACTGAACCTGCATCTCTTTCCTAAATGAGACTGTTGAGCCTCACAGAGACTGAAACTAATGTTGTGCTCAAAAGGCTCTTGCTCTCTTGTGAAATCAGTTTTATGACTGTTTGTTTATTATATGTTTATGACCAGGAAGCTGCTCTCAAGGTGT